CAGATGTTCAGAGGGCCAGTCCCACTGGAAGGACCTCCCATTCCTTCCCTGCCCTCGTGCCCGCGCTTCCCTCCCGTGCTCACACGTCCACTTCTCGCTCGCCAAGGCTCTGCCCGATGCGTTTAACCAGGGATGCCGGGCGCTGCGTGGGTTTGTGATGCACAATGCTGGGAGCCGTCAAGGGAGGGAGGCTGGGACGGACATCGATGGGGTGATGCCTGCATTCGGCTGGGGGAATGCCACCCCCCTGTGGGTGTGCAGCCACAACGCCTGTGTTGGCAGGCACAAGTGCTTCGCTGCCTGCTGCAATGTGAAATCCACTGATATGAGAGAGGGATTTGTCATCACAGGCCTCAGTGCTCTGAGCAGACGGGTGAGAGCTCGGGAGCCGCCTGGGATGCTCCGGATGGCTCCGTGTTCTCACCCGGTCCTGCAGCAAAACACAGCCCTGCGGCTTCCTCGGATGGAGGGAGCCATCGGCTTCCCGGGCTGGTTTCTGCGATTGCTTCTGCAGTCCGACGATCCCATCCCGTCCTCGTGCCCCACGGTGGAGCAACGGCCCAGCTGCACCGCTGGCATGGGCTGACCTGCCGGCACTGCGAGCTGGCATTTTCTAGGTGCTAATCCCAGGTCCTAACAATGCCAAGGAGGAAGGGGTGGAGGATATTTTTTTCTTGGCCTCCAGGGATTGAAATAGAAGACGAAATTCAGTTCTGCTGTATCCAGTTACTGCAATGCAGTCTAACTGGGCCAGTTTCACTGACAAATTTGACCAGCAGCCAACTTGCTTTGTCTTCCACGGCCTGAAGCTACTGAAGTTCAAAGGAGAGCACGAGCACTTTTCTCAGGACCTCCGTCGCTGCCCTCCCACCAGCCGGAGCTGCACACCCTCTCCCGGGGCACCTCTCCTCCCCGTGCCATCCCTTGCCACCATCCTGAGTCCTCTCCCGCAGCACACAGAGACACACACACTCTCAGACGTCTTCCAAATAACGTTGTCTTTAACCAGACAATTTCCCAGCTCTCTTTTTCTAAAAACCACAAATTTCCTCCCTTCGTCCTGATCATGGACCCTTCCCTATCCCAATTCCCAGTCGACTTCTTGTCTTCCCACGGTTAAAACCAAAATAGCATCACTAGTGAGGCTGAACACAAGAGTTCCCCTTGCCTGAAAAAGCAGCTTTTTCAGTGTTGGCTCTCAGTGCTGGCTGCAAGCCGGGATCACCTGCAAACCAGTGCAAAACCCTGCGGCATCGCTGGGATAACTGGTCCCACATAACAGCATTTCTCTTTCCAGGCAGGTTTGTCCTGCAGCACCTGCAGCTCCTCACCACGGGGAAATTTTCCACCAGCCCACCGGAGGGAAAATAAACCCAATACTCTCGTGGCGAGGGGCACGGTGCTTTCCGTCCCCCAGCCCACGCCAAACGCCACATATAGAAGGTGAAGTCTGCGAGTGCCTTGTCCTCACAGCCAGAGGAAAGCTCCCAGGCGGCACAAGCCCGAGCTTGGAGAGGGGTGGGGGGAACTGTTTAACCCCTTGTCTCCAAAATAAACCTTCATTTATTTCTCCTATAGCTTGAATTTTCATCTTTTTCTCCCTGTTTTCTCCCAGGCCCCGGTCAGGAGAGGACCCTCCTGTAATAAACTCCGTACATATCCATAAAGAGCTATTTCCAAGTGCTCATGGGCTAGTTAGAGCTCAATTACTCAGCTGGGAGATCCAGAGTACTGCTGGGTGACCTGGAATAGATAAGGAATCGGAGCCAGAGCAGTCTCTTAAGAGGGGTATCCACATAAGCCTCTGCTCTGCTTACGCTGCTGATACTCCTCAGCCCTGTCCCGTCACAGCAGATGCGAATCCAGCCTGGGACATGAAATCTGCCCGTGACTACAGGGATAAATAGCTGAAGACTCTCCTTCTTTCACTTGCTGGCTCAGCCTGCCGTGAAAAACTAGGGAAACCAAATGCTTCCCAGCCTCCCACGCACGAAGCACATACCAAATATTCTTAGTGCAGAGGTTAATAAATGTTACGGAGAAGTGGGATTGGCTCCCACTAAGGCAAGGCACAAAGAGACGAGAGGGACTGGCATGAAGCTTTCTAGCTCAAAGCAAGCTATTAAAGGATTTGCCAGGTGAAAAGAAGGAGATAAGTGTATCCAAATCAAAATAAAAGAATGAATTTTAACTGAACTATAAATACGAAACAAACGGCTTGGGGCAAAACCTGCTTCTCGGGGCGATTTCCACAAAGCAGCAAACTTTTTTTATTCCACAAGAACCAGAGACTGTTTAAGCTTTTGCACAAGAGGAACCGAAGGGACCGAGAGTCTGGAGATCTCCAAAGGAAAAAAAACAGGAGGAAAAAGAAACGCAGCCCAAGGGATCGCTGTCACTGCACCGGCCCCACCAGCCGCCTTCTAGGAGTATCATCTCTGCTCCCAGCCCTGCCAAAGGATGTTAGAGCAGGGGCAGAGAGAAAATCCCTGACACTGGCACAGGTTTTGGCTTTGCGAGTAACACCGGGATTTCATGAAATACCCTGTTCCCTCCCGGAGTGCCTGGACCAGCTCCCTGCCTCGCTCCTCTGGTCTCTATACGACAGCTATTCCTCTTTAGCAAGCACAGCACGCCTTTCTCGGGGTTCGTGTTTTCCATCTCGTCCCCTAAAACAGCCCAGCGGAGTTCACAGGTATGCCCCTGCATTTCTCACAGAAACAGCTCAAGCGTGGGGAGATGTGACTTACGTCCACCGAGTGTTCCCTCTGAATAAGTTTCCTGGTCTCCTTTTCGCAGTGATTGAGCATTGTCTCGCAGTTTTGCGGGCCAGGTGGGGAATTTTCTGTTTGGTTTTTCTGACTGAGCTCCAGAGGGATGCTTCCGTCTGGATCCACCACATCCAGCTCCTTTTCCAGCTCTTCCATCTCCTCTGGAGACAGAGTAGACAACAAACTGTCAATATCTGGATCTTCACTAACTTGTCGCCGATATACCATCTCTGCTCCCAGCCCTGCCAAAGGATGTTAGAGCAGGGGCAGAGAGAAAATCCCTGACACTGGCACAGGTTTTGGCTTTGCGAGTAACACCGGGATTTCATGAAATACCCTGTTCCCTCCCGGAGTGCCTGGACCAGCTCCCTGCCTCGCTCCTCTGGTCTCTATACGACAGCTATTCCTCTTTAGCAAGCACAGCACGCCTTTCTCGGGGTTCGTGTTTTCCATCTCGTCCCCTAAAACAGCCCAGCGGAGTTCACAGGTATGCCCCTGCATTTCTCACAGAAACAGCTCAAGCGTGGGGAGATGTGACTTACGTCCACCGAGTGTTCCCTCTGAATAAGTTTCCTGGTCTCCTTTTCGCAGTGATTGAGCATTGTCTCGCAGTTTTGCGGGCCAGGTGGGGAATTTTCTGTTTGGTTTTTCTGACTGAGCTCCAGAGGGATGCTTCCGTCTGGATCCACCACATCCAGCTCCTTTTCCAGCTCTTCCATCTCCTCTGGAGACAGAGTAGACAACAAACTGTCAATATCTGGATCTTCACTAACTTGTCGCCGATATTTGGCCACTTTGGACATCTTGGCTCGCTGGCGAGACACGGTTGCGGTTGTGTGTGGTACCCAAGGAAGGAGAAAAAAAAAAGAAGCCGAAGCTCCAACACTGCTTCCCCCAGCAGCAGCAGGTGCTGAAGTGTTAAATCTCAGCAGCTCTCAATCGCTGCAGCCCGGGATATAGTAGTTATGAAGAGGGGACATCCCTCGGTCCAAGAGTCGGCCAATAACAGGATCCAGCCGCGATTTCGGGTGCTGGGAAGCCAATGGAGCCCAGCGGGAGGCGGGGAATGGTGCTATCAGAGGAGCCTGAAACCCGAGGACATTCCAGGGAACCATGCAGAGCTGCATGACCAAATTTAGTCCGGAGCATTTAGCCTTTTAAAGGCAATGGGCCAACCTAGTGAGAAAACACGCAAAAATGCACAAGCTGGCAGGCTGGGGATCTGGGGGTGGGGAAGGCAGATCTCTAGCATGTGCCCACCGGTGCCGGAGGGCTAATAAAAAGGTCAGAGTGGCTCCAAAGATATGGGTCGTCTCCTCCGTTACAGGAGGGGAGAGTTTCTGCTGTGACAGTGACAGCTCTTGGCTGAAATCGGCAATAAAGCGCCCACCCCAGAGAAAGTTTTCATCTTTATCCCGCTGCTCTCCAGGATCTGTGCAGGTTTTTTTTTCCCTTCGGGAGAGAGGTGGTGGGGGGTTATGTTCTGGTGCAGACTGGTTTCTTTACGAAGGATGTGCAAAGTCCAGCGCCTTTGAAGCGGGGAGGAAGCAGGCAGCGAGTGCGAGCCCAGCCCGGTGCCTGCTCCTCGCTCCGCAAAATCTGACCCCAGCACCGTCCCTGGGTCGCTTTATCAGAGCTTCTGCTGATTCCCTGTCCTCTGCAGGGGTGTTTCTGCAGCTGCTCTTCATCACAACACTCCCATTTCCCCCTCGCCAAGCCCCACAGACATCCCTCCTTCTGCACAGACTAAATTCCTGAGTCTCTCCTGCTTCTGGTTCAGGCAGTGCCCTAAGCCTGGGCTTTGGCTGGAGGCACCTACTTTCCATCAACCTAATCCATAAAGAAGCTTACTGGCACCTGCAAATTCTCCCAGAGGGACAGAGGCAGATAGGCTCTTCTCTCCAAATTTCAAGGCAGCTTTGCCCCATGCACAGCACTTTGCCCCCATTCGTTATGCTGCCAACTTCATCCCTTCTTCATCCTTTTATCATCCTCCTAACATCTACTGCCTGCTCTCAGGCCTCTCTCTTTGCTAGTCCAAGCAAGCAGCCCTTTGGTCTCCTTCCGTAAAATAAGCTCTCATAAGATTTTCCTCATCAGTCTAATTGCCTTCTCTGCCCACCTCCCTGGCTCAAATCCCGTCCTGAACACAGGCAGAGCGTGCTCCAGGTGAGTCTCCCAATGCCTTGTGTTACAAACTAGACATTCCCCATCTTGACGGGAAACGCACTTTCTTGTTGCATTCTAAGATTTCATTTCTCTCCAGCATCACAGCGCCCAGCTCCTGCTCATAGCCTTCCTATGATTCACCAGCACGACTGAGATTTTTTCCAGATTGGAGAAGAAACTGTTGGTTTTAGTTTCCAAGTGCATAACCTTAAACATTGCCGTGTTGAATTTCATCCCACTTCACTTCTATCTCCCTGATATCATGACCCTTGTCTTGGTGCTCACTTTCACCAAGGGACTAGGAGGGACACGGCCATCCCCTTCGCCTTCTTCTGGTCTCAGCCCAGTCAGGCTCTTCTCCTTCCCTCCCCCCAAAACTGCCATGGCTGCAACAGCACTGAATGCAACAGGAACCACAGTGAATTTAGCGTATTGGTGTCCATTTGGTGCCCTCTTCGCCCGCAGAAGCCAAAGGAGTGTCTTGCTTGTTCCACCTTACTATAGCCCTGGACCTCTCTAACGTGCTGTCTGGTTCCTTTTCAGGATACACCAAAAGGTTTTAACACTGTGTCTTCTGGAAGAGAAACTTGAGTTAACGGAGTCTGGGGGTGGAAGGAATGGCCAAATGCCTGGTATTTCTACATGGTGTCGCTGCGCTCAGTCACCAGGAGCAAATGGCAAGTGCTTGTAAGAGGTAAGCGACAAACTGGAAGCTCAGTTCCCAACTGGAGAGGGCACGAAAAAAAGGTAGTGAGGAATCATAGCTACATGTCTCCCTCTTCCAGGAAAGACCCAAGCTTTCTCGGGTGCCACTCCTGGCTCCAGGGACAGGGTAACGTGGACAGCCCCAGGGACAATCTGCAAAGCTAAACCAGAGAAAGAACCTTTCCACTGGCGAGTAAAACCTGGAATTGTCTTTCTGTCTGTCTGCCTTTCCTTCCTGACTCTTTCCAGTGTTGTAAATCGGTTTGCAACAAAATAAAATCACTATTGACACCTTGATAGGGTTGTTCCTGAATCTTGACTCCTGTGATGAGAAGCACCAGACACGGAGTTCCCTAAGAAGCCGTAAACGTGACCTGGGAGGCTTCGAGTTTCTCCTGAAGTATCACACATCCTCCCGATTCAGGAGTCCACCTCTGCCGAGCTCTCCTCCACTGAGCTGCAGAGCTGGCTACGCAGAGGTAACACAGAGTCAGAGTTTTGCAGAGATATATTCCTTCATTAGCAGAAAAGCCGGGAGAGAAGCAGGGGTCACCCTAAACTTGTCATGGTTTATAGCGGATGGTCTTACTGCAATTTATCTTGGCTGTCATACGTCTCTTTTTAGATGGGGATATTTGCATAGCTCTGGCTGCACCATATTCCACAGAGTTCTCAGTGCCGTAAGAAAGAAAACACCGAAAGAAAATCTAGTGCTTTCACCCCAGAATAAAAGGAGCTCTGGATATGTCTGCACTGGCTGGTTTTCCCAGCAACTGTGACTGGGGATGCGTGCGGGGACCCTTGGCTCCAGCCGCCGCGGGCTTGATGCCGGCCCTTTGAAGCTGTGTCAGTCAGGAGAGCGTGGTGCGGTGCGGTGCGGTGCGGTTTGGCGCAGAGGAGCGCCCAGCAGCTCCGAACCTCCGCTGAGGCTCGTCAGTCTCTGCGTTTATCAGGATCCCCATCTCCATAGCAACCGAGCACCTCGGAGGCACTAATGAATATTTCTACACAACACTCCTTTGAAATGCAGCAACGTGATTAGCCACGTCTTAGAGATGAGGAATTGAGACAGTCAGATTAAGTACCTTTTCCAGGTGCGTGTACGGGGTCTCTGGCAGAGCTGGGAAAGCTTTCCATGCCCCCATCTCTCGTGCCACCACCGAGGACCGTCCATGTCCCTTCATTTTTTCCTATTAGCTGATAAAAGACAACTGAAAATGGAATGGATTCCTCTAATCTGTTTTATTGCCCTTTCCTTCAGAGCCTGCAGGAGGAAAGGTTAAACGCACTGATCTTTTTTTCATTTTATAAGATGTTCCTTGAGAAAGCAAGTGACATCTCCCTGCCCGGTTGAGACACGCGGCTGCTCTGGAACATCTTGGTCCCATGGCCAGCGAGAGAAACCGCCTCTCTCCCAAACCCAACTGCAACTTCACCCAAAACTTCCCTCCACAAACCACCTGCTCATGCGAGAGCGAGGGACGTGTGGAGGAGACATTATATATCGGGAAAGGAACCGACTCCTGGCCGCAGGGAGATTCAGAAAACCCCGGGAAGCCCTTGAGCCCCGGGGAACTACAGGCCAGTCAGTCTCACCTCTGTGCCCGGCAAGATCATGGAGCAGATCCTCCTGGAAACTATGCTAAGGCACATGGAAAATAAGGAGGTGACTGGTGACAGCCAACACGGCTTCACTAAGGGCAAA